GCTCATCGTGAACCCTCGATAAGATATCAAGGAAGTTCTAGACTAGAAAGACGGTTCGAATCCCGGTCACACCAAACATGCTCACCCTTTCAGCCGTGGGGTCGTTAGAATGTGACGGTCGATCCCACTATTCGTTGGTAAAAGAGAAGCCCAAGAGTTGGCGGTGGGTGGTGATGACTAGCTGCCTTCCCTCTAGTCTTACACTGCTAAATTAGGGATGGCTAGCGCAGATAGCCCTCGTGTAGCTTTGCGCGAAATAAAATAAAAAAACAAAAAACAAAACAAGCATTCTGGGAAATTTCAGTTGAAATTAGTTCTATATCTGAATCGCCTGAGTATTTATCCAGTTGCTGTTCCTGAAAACAGAGAAGCCAGCCATTCAGACTAATAGAGTTTATCTATCATAGAAAAATCATCAAGTGCAATCTTTCCCCGTTGATGTGATTGTAATAAAGAGTTGTATCTAATCTCTTTTTCTTTTGGTTGAGTTTATCATTTTCAAACTCTGCATACAAATTTTAAAAGCCTCTTATTATTGTGGTCTTAATTAACTCACCTGTTGATTCATATATACCCGATAATTCCACATGGCTTTAACTGGCTCAAGTGGTTCGAGTAAAGCAACAGAAGAAAAAAAGTTTAAGCTAAAATATAACTTAAAGTAGTTTCAATACCTTTCTTACCATAGTATAAAAAAACAATAAAAACATGTGGTGTCGTGAATAATAGATAAAAAGTGGTTACCTCACGGATAATTGAGCCATCTATTTTCTACTGGGTGATAGGACAATAAAGTTTCATCTGCGATTTGCTTTATAACATGAAGTAGATGCTGATGCTCTGTATGCTCCCTTTCAGGAATCTAAATGATTTATTATATATTAGTAGCATCATTTCACAATACATAGTCTACGCCAATTACAAGCATGAATAATTGTTGGGAATGAATTTTAAAACGAGTGTTAGATAATCCAAGGACCGTACCGTACCTTTCGACTTGTAACAACTCACTTTCCCTACGTTATTATTCTCTTTCTTTTTCAAAAAGCTTGTCAATTTACCATTTATTATCTTATTTATTATGCACTGTTATGACAGAATTGCTTTGTTCAACACAGAACAATAGAATCTACGTAATCCACGTTTTTTTTTCTTTATCTAGCCGATACAGCTGTAGGATGATCACGTTGCGCTTGCCATAAGCAATCGTGTATCCGCACGTGATATGAGGGCGAGTTGTTACTTGGCAACTCAAAGAGCGTGCTCGTATTCATAGAATATGGCTACTAGAGTACTGCTAGCTCTTTATGGTTATTGCTATTACCAAGGTTATAAGTAAAACTATATTAGCCAAGGTAACGTAATTCATTCGTATGCATTTAGATTTGCATAAGATGAAAGTAGGAGAGAGCTATGTCTTTCCAACAACATTATTCAGTCAGATAGACAAATTTGTGGTTTTGTAAAATTTTTGTTTTCACTCTATCGAGTGCTTTGGAGTCTTGTTATTCTGCATTTGGTTTGCTTACTACTCAGTAGTGTGTGTAAAGTGCTTGTAAAGGTTTATTTTGCTGTTTGCAGTGTGTTTGAGATTTTAATTTGTATTTTACATTTTGCACATCTGGCCCATTCCTACTATAAGTACTACCGTACTTATGATTATCAGTGTTATTGCAATTGGGATTCCATTTACTTTTCTTCATAAACTGTAAGTTGTCAGGGTTAATGGGACAGATACTCCAACTGCTTGACTTCAATGTTTGTATAGTATCAATGGAAATAAGTCAGAGATTCCAGTCACTTAATTTGTTTGAGTATGGATTTTCAAGATTAACAGAAAAAATTATTTCAGACAATGACCGGATGTTTTCAGAACTACTAGGAAAATCATTCCAGTCACCTAACTTGTTTAAATGTATATTATCGGTGTTAATAAGGAATTCCAGCCACTCGACTTGTATCACAGCATCAGAACAGAAGGGGCCAGAACACACTTCGCCCCCTCATAACCTTCGATAGCTTTACGATTTCAGTAACTTAAATTGAGTTTTTGTTCAACATAATGACTCGGTATAGACAATTATGGCTTAAAATGGATGTGAAAGCTGGAGATAAAGAATCGAAAATATAAGCTCAAGATATTAAGGTAAAACATAGGACATGTAAATTAGTAATTAAACTATTTACTTTCATATTAATTTCACATTTGGTCTCTCTCTCTGTGTCAAAATAGGCCCAAGTTACAATACTAATTTAAATATTTTCTGGAGGCAGTGTACTCCTGAATCCACCTAGTTTCCGCTTGCCCTATTTAAGTACACTAATGAAAAGATTAATTTACTCCCAGCTATACATTCACACATTCAAATAAGTACTTCCAACGCTTACTGCATGTTTTATTAGTTTCAATAGTACTGTTGCGTCATCGAGATC